GAGATTCTAATCAGATTTGTTGGAAGACTCCTTCAGTCCCCATGGAGAGTCCATTGAGACGTTATAGAGACCTGATAGAGACCACACAGAGACCCAAAAGTGACCCAACTGGGGCCCCATTCAGGCTTGGGCCCACGGGGAGGGGCGGCCAAGAGGAGGAGGAAGGAGGTGCAAGGGCTGATGGTGGAGAAGGTCGGGGGGAAGGAAGTCAGGGCTGGTTTTGTTCCTATGAGATCCACCCAGATGGCATTCCGGATGGGCTCAGCCTCATCTGCAAGTCCTCCAAGGATTCACCTTCAGCAGTGTTGGCATGAATTGGGTGCGACAGGCACCCGGCAAGGGGCTGGTATTCGTTGCCAAAATTAACAAGGATGGTAGTAGCACAGCATACGGGACGGCGGTGCAGGGCTGTGCCACCATCTTGAGGGACAAAAGGCAGAGCACAGTGAGGCTGCAGCTGAACAACCTCAGGGCTGAGGACACCGCCACCTACGGCTGCGCCAGAGGTGCTGGTTGGGGTGGTGGTTGTTGTAGTGCTCACGATATTGATGTTGTTTTTAGTGGCGTCACCCTCAGCCCAGATTGAGAGATCAGAGCCTGTGTGGTGTAGCTGAGCCTAGAATGGACAGAACTCGGCCCAAATCTACATGAGTGAGCTCACAGTGATGGAACTGATCACAGAAATGTGATGGAAGTGGATTTGGATATGAATACTGTAAAGCAGATGGTGATGGTTATGGTCATGGTTATGGATACAGGTCTTGAAATAGACATGGAAACAGGAATGGAAAAGGTGATGGTAATGGAGACGGTGTTGCTGGGGATAAAATTCTCTGCTCCCAGCACAGAGCTCTGAGTCCCAGCTGGAACCTTCCCAGATGCAGATGCACAATGTGTCCCTGTCAAGTCAATGCAACCAGCATGACCCCAACAACCGTAAGCACCAGAACAACCATAAGCATCTTTGGCGCAGCAGTAGGTGGCGGTGTCCTCAGCCCTGAGGTTGTTCAGCTGCAGCCTCACTGTGCTCTGCCCGTTGTCCCTGGAGATGGTGGCACGGCCCTGCACCGCCGCCCCGTATCTTGTGTCACTACCAGCACTGCTAATTTCAGCGACGTATTCCAGCCCCTTGCCGGGTGCCTGTCGCACCCACTGCATGTTGTAACTGCTGAAGGTGAATCCAGAGCCCTTGCAGACGAGGCTGATCCCTCCTCTGGGTGCCTGGAGGCCGCCCCCGGACTCGTCCAACGTCACGGCCGCCATCAGCCCTGTGGGGAAGGAAGGACAGACAGCGCTGACGGAGCTGCTGACACACGGCCTCGTGCAGACAGACCACATTGTGATCCCATAGAGACTCATACAGATGCAATTGAGACCCCATAGGAACATTGAAGAGTCTTCACTGACTTTCCTTAGACGCCTCGTATGAAACCCGTGGAAATTTCATAGAGATGCCCTTCAGATCCCACACAAACCCCACCACTGTCTCACACAGACCCCATAG